GCCTCTGTGTCAAAACAAGTCTTTGTATGAAACCATTCGACATATGGTAAAGTGTTCCACCTATATGTTCATTTTCATGCAAATCAAACTGATTTTCACATGAAAGGTTTTGCACAAAAAGACTCATTTTGAAACAGAGGCACGAGGTAACTCTCAATGGCCTATTGATGTGGCATTTGCAATGACCAACAACAAACCATTGAAGCCCATGCATTTATTGGTCAGAAAATGCCCTTAAGAAACTTTATTGCCCAGACACTCACATGTACTGATAAAAGGTTAGAAAAAACAAGCTTAAATAACAAAGGCATAATAGTACCTGCATTTCCTTCATCCACCAATCAAAATCATGGGACGATTCTTTTGTTTAGCAATGTTGAACATTCCTGTGCAAGAAAATCATGCGTAATATTGTTATAACTGTATGACTGTTCTTTATAGGCTATCAAACAAGGTGCCTCCAAGCATTCATACATGTAAGTTATAGTCTGTACTAAACGAACACTGGGTTATTGACCATGCAAGCATCATGTCAAGATGGCAGACCATTGGCTCATTTTTTTTTTTGCAGATGACAAAAAAGAACAAGTTAGACCAATATTCAGCTATCTTGATTTAAAAAGCTTGAATGAGAGAGAATTGGTTAAAGGCATATGACAGAAAGGATATTTTCTGGAAACTTTTACACATTCTAGAGTCTGAATTCCACTTGAATACTTCATGTATCTATCCTCAGATACTCTTGAATCCTCCAGATGACTGCAGTACTGTATATCGCGTTTTGCATGCACAGAGTGTACTCTGATATTTTCGCTTTGGCATGGCAGCTGTAAAAACAGGTTTAAGTTATACCTGCATGCTGTTTCTTCTTCCTTCCCACTGCAGCACCTATGATTTCTAACAGCTCGTCCTCACTGGTTCCTGCTCTCAGAGAATCTCGTAATGATACTTCAGAATTACCAAACAGACACACCTGTATTAAAGCAAATGAAAAATTGAATCATGATGAAAATGCTAGTGAAATATAGGCAGAACGTTTGTTGGTCAACAACAGTACAAACATGCTTCAAGTCCAAAACATTAGACAAACAGAGCTATCTCTGCTGTCTCCATATCTGTGCAAAGTGTGCAGAGCCCAAATAGCTATTAGCTCCACATAAATACACACCTACAGGTAATACATGGGCCAAAGATTCTAGGCATGAACCATAAGCTGCTAATGACAAGTGCTATTTAGTATATAGCCACTGAGAATTTCAGTCTCTTCTCATATTATGTAGACTGTGTACTGAATATGAGAACAATTGCCTCCAAACAGTTTTGTGTTCATTATACAAGAGTAATTAACAAGTCCATTATAAGCTGTCTACTGACTTTAAACGCACTTAATTTGCAGATTCAGGGTCATGAAAATATCAGAGAATTATGCATTTCACCAGTAAACCGCTTGAAGTATGATTGGGTTTTGGGTGACAGACTCACTCAGGTTGCCCAAACAATCATAGTGTAATGGACTGTGGAAAGAATGAGAGGCTCAAGGCTTCATCTCTGAAAAAAAGTGGAATCTCTTTTCAACTTGCATTGATCCCCATTATACTCACTTATGATGCATCGGCTCGTAATGAGCTCAAACTGACAAAAAAAAAGGACTGTCTCCCAAACTAGCACCTAAATAAATGTTGGTTCAAGTAAGTTATAGATGCCAGGCCTTACATGTATGTCTAGTCAGAACCTTACAAATTAACATTATGTGACCTAAGTGTTAAATGAAGGAAGAAGAAAAGTTCAAAATTGATACCTTTAAGTTGCCATCTGCTGTGATGCGAAGCCTGTTACAGCTTCCACAAAAGTGTTCACTCATAGATGTGATAAAACCAACTTGACCTGTAAAACCTGGAACCTTGTATGCCTGGTGCAAGAACAGGTTAAAAAGGAGGCAGTGAAAATGATAGCCTGACTCAATGACTGACTGTAAATTACATTTATCTATTGTTAGTATTTTCGTTGTTGTATGGGGAAATTGGAGTTTCATTTCAAGGGAAGTGAATCTGATCAGTTTAGAAGTCAAAACAGAGGACCAGTCAAATACTTAATGAGTCATTGCCAGTTGGACAACTCAGTATATCCCAACTCTTCGCCATTCAAAAACACGGGAGCCAGTTAGAAGAGACAAAGATTTTCTCTGAGCTAAATTAAGCACTCCAGTTAGCTTCACCAATTAGTCTACAAGATATTACAGTGCAGTGCCATTATAGTGCAATAATTATTAGCTCTGAAAAAAAATTCTTCAAGCGTAATATAATGTGATATGTTAGTAACATTTAACATGACTCAAATTCCTGATAATTTGTCATTCAGACCTGACTGGGGTTTGGATTTGAGTTACAAGTTCTTTGCTATGCTAAATCTAAGTTGACTCTTGTTATAATTCTCAACATCTGTCTGCGTGACAATGTTGACAATAAGTCTTGCTCTTGCCAATAACAAGGAATGTACACAGACAGGACATATAAGGCAAATAACATTAAAATTCAACAGCAAAGTTTGGTTTGTTGTTTCATGAAGAAGTAACAGGTACCTTTGAAGTATCATTAGGCTGGTCTGACATCCTCTCTACATCGGGCCATCTTGCAGAGATACTTTCTAGCAATTCAGTGTATGGAACAAATTTGTTGAAGTTCCATTTGTTCCCTAATCAGAGAAAGAAATTACAAAAGTAGATGGGCAGGAAATTCAAATTTACTTGTCTTTGGCTTATTTTAATTAATAACCTTCAGATAAAATCAACCCCTTTGAAGGAACATTTCAATCAACAAGTGTACATGTAATAACAATTCTGCACAATATTATAGACTTTTAATTAAGTTTACCAAATAACTGAAAATGAATGCCCTGAATACACATGCCATTAATAAAGTTTAATATTTGTTTTGCCTGATAGAAAATGTTTAATAATCAGTGTCTGGGGTTAACATTATGCTACTTACATTATAACTGACATTTATATTTTTCTTGTAACACAAATATTGAGCTCAAATTTGGCATGTGGCCTTCAATGTAGTTAAAATGACATTGCTATAAGTTTTTTTTTCACTGTTTCACACCTCGTTTGCAAGAAAATATAAATAGGGTAAAAAAATTTAGTTGGAACCATTTGTTAAATAGCTGAAAAAAGAAACTAGTAAGTTCTTTGTTTTCATATATACATGTACTGTATGTACAGATTGCACTCAATCCAACTGAGCATTAAGAACCATGATTCTTATTTTATGTAGTGTATGCGTATGTATGAAAAGGTGTTCTACAGAGAACATGGTAACCATAATATGATAACTCTTTACTCTACTAAACTTCCACTAAGATATTTTCCTAACTTACCATCAAACGGCATGTATTCTATAAACCGCACATCTACAGCCTGGTCACACAACATATGTAGTTTTTAAAAGCAAAAATTATTATAAGTAGTGGGAAAAATTTGNATTGGGTTTGGTACCTCTTGGACTGTTCAGCCTCAAAAGCTCCACAAAAGGAGCTTTCGAGGTACCTTCTAGGGTATTAAGCTGAAAAAAATATAACAGGTGATAATGTGTTGTTTTAGAAAATTTTGGTACCACTTAGGGGTGAAAAAAATTTCAAAAAAACTCAACACCTCTGACGTCTCTCTATAGCTACATGGTCAGTTTGATGGTGCCCAGAGGTTGCCAAGGATATACCACTCTCAGGAGGAAGACGAGATGATAGACATAAAATATACTTTTCAAAACAACAAAATAATAAATATCTTACCACAAAGCTCTACAATGTCTTTTCGCACCAATGGTTCACCTCCAGTGAGTCTGATTTTCTTAACACCCTCCTTGACAAACAGTCTTGCCAACGTTATAATTTCTTGTGTATTTAACAGCTCTGTATTTGGTGTCAACTCAACACCTTCCTCTGGCATACAATATTGACCTGCAAGCCACATGACACCAATTAAATTTTTAAGCACATAATAAAGAATTATATATTATTCATGCCAAGATCAGTGAAACCTTTATCTTTCTAGGAGAAAAAGTTAACACTGCGAGTCTTTTTTTTGAGCAAAGGATAAGGATGCTGTTCAAAGGACTCCCTGATTGCTATGCATTTCCTTTTTCCCCCTGTTTTTTTTCCTTTTATTACTTTTTCTTTGTTTATTTATTTATTTGCTTTTTATTTACTTTGGGTTGAAGAAAGCTACTCTAGAGCAAAGTGTGCATAGTCCAACCCAAGGAAAAAAACAAAAGGAAGGAAGGGAACCAACTGAGACTGAAGTCAAGTCTTGAAATAGCAATTACCTGTTTTATGGTTTACATTATNAAATGAACATTAAAAGTGTGTAAAAATCCCAGTTATCTCTTTCAGACATTGAAGAAAATTAATCGAGTTTTCGAAGAATAAGTAGCAAATATCTATCTATTGTTTAAGCCAAAGATAATGTAACTGATGGAATGCACAATGACCAGAATAACGTATCGATCAAGGTACATAATCGAGCTCAATTGTACAATTCTACAAGCTTACATAGCTAGAACTAAACATCGTGTACCTTGGCAGAATTATATTTAACAAAAATTCCTTGCAGCTTATCTTATTTGTCTAAATTTGGGTGCACCTCTTTCTGTCCTGTTATATAAAGATATTTCCCTGACGTTTCATAAATTGCACAATCTCAGTAAAGATTCGACTGCATGCTCTCGGCCAGCGCTGAGGACTGTTTACACGTTGAGCTGTACTTACGTTTTTGACTCTATCATCCTCCACTGGTCTTGTGTGTTGTCGTCGAAAGAAAGCACTTGTAATTTTGCAAAATTTCACCCGTGTATTGCTGGAAATAGGAGGGCACAGACACCGAATGGTGCACTTGATGACCCCTGGGCCGGCCATGTTGGAAGTGTTCTCCGTCCCGTCCCCTCGATCGAATGTAACGCCTCGGAAGGCCTGGGCACTAAAAACGTTTCCAATATGTCGGATGAGTCTTAGTTGAACTTCGATAAAAGCAAAGCGCACTTTTTTGCCGATATTTGTGCTTGATTCTGCGAGTAAAGGGAGCCATGGCGTCTTCAGAAGCAAGTGCTACTAAGAACAGAGTTCCAAAAGTTGCAAAGGTTGGTAAATTTTAAGATTTTAAAAGAAAAACAGCTGACAGGATAAAAACTCGGACTGGCACATGTCATGCCGAGGGAATATTCGAATCGAGCGCGCTTTTACCAAAACAGATTGCTTAACACTCACTCTCAGATGATGCTTTAGCTGAAAAAAGTGATTAAACGCTGATTTTAAGTTTAAAGATTACCTTCTTTTTAACTTAATTTGGATAGCAGATAAAAGTTCTCGTGTAAGAAAACTCCAACCAAAGCTTTACAAAGTTGAAGCTTTATATGATACATATAAAAGTTTGTATAGACCTTTGGTTTGAAAGTGACTGAGCTTTCAGAATTCTTACAATCTGTTCCTTCCCTTGGACAAAACACTTGGGGAGAAACTTTTGGTGAGGGGACAAGTGCAAAACACGGCTTGATTGAGAGTTTTGGGTTAGAAAGCAAGATTATTGTCATCCCCAAAGTCAGTCCCTCTTAGCCAGCGGGATGTATAGGCAGAAGGAAAAAAATGGCTTTGAAGACAGATGTATTAAGTGGCTACAGTCTTAGGCTAAGATGCCAACCCCCCAATTGGTTAGACAAAACTATGTAAACAAGGAAAAAGTACTCTTGACTGTTGCTTTTATAAAATATTTTTCTAAAATATGCACAACTCTAAAACGTCACACCTGTTTACATACTCTCACCTAAACAAACCTATGGACCAATGAGAGCTTGAGAGAGTGTGGATACATGTATCTCATGTATTTTCTGAAAGAATCTAGCCAATCAATCATTTGTATCTAGGGCAACTTTTTCCTTGTGTCAAGGTCTTGCTGGCTACATGAGTAGGAGAGACAGGGGTCCCTAGGGTTGCAAAAGTTCTTGGCAAGATATTTTACTCTTAGTACCTTCGCATCAAGGAGCATTTAAGTAAAGCAGCCTTCTGTAATGGCAACCTGACGAAATGGAGGGGGGTGGGGGTGGGGGTGGGTAGGGTGGGGATTAACCGGCGATGTACAAGGTAGTAAGGACCGTTGCGACCCAAGGGAAGCATTCATGCTTTCAGCAGGAGGACAACTGGTTTTCACAGGCGGGCAAAACTATTTTAAGTGAACTTCTTTATGAGGAAAAATTTCCACTAGTCAGTTTGTGAAACCAGGCGGGAAATATCATACCTCACAGTCGGTCAGTTTGCCCATTGCCCTGCCCTTAATGAAACCCCTATTAATAATTTTTACGTTATGTGACAAGCTAATGGTTGTTTTGTTTTTCTTTTCCAGGTCAAAAATAAGGCACCTGCTCCCGTTCAGATCACAGCTGAACAGCTCTTGAGGGAAGCCAAGGAAAGACAGTTGGAATTAGTACCTGCAGTTAGTAGATATCATGTTTATTTTTTAACAAGTTGTGCTTTTAATTTCAGTTGTCAAATTCATGTGCACTGAATTTATTGTGATCCATTAGTATGTTACAAGTGTTATTTTTATTTGTATTTTTAATAGCCTCCTAAACAAAAGATTAGCGATCCTGATGAACTTCAAGAATACAAACTTCGCAAAAGAAAGGTTTGCAATTTCATACTCATCTGTTTCTTTCTCCTGCTAGGAGTTCTGGGTTAAACGTAGTGTAAATGATGGAAATATATAAGTACATTGTATGTCATTACAAATAGTAAGATTTGTCTGACTTTTCTGCTCATAGGCTTTTGAGGACAACCTTCGTAAAAACAGATCGGTGATTAGCAACTGGTTAAAATATGCTCAGTGGGAAGAAAGTCAAAGGGAAATTCAAAGGTACAGATGTTTGTAACCCTAAGTACTTGATACATGAAAGTTACTTAATATTTTACTTAAACTGACTTTGCTTAATATGTCATANCCTTCATCCTCTCTAGCAGCAAATATACATGTATACAGTAGCTCGATACATGTACTTGCAAACACACAGCAACATGCACAATGCCTTTTCTTTACAGGTACAAATACACATACATGGAAGAGATGCTAAGTAATGTCGCAGGTGCGCGGCAAGTTTTTGAGCGGTGGATGGAATGGGAACCTGATGAACAGGCGTGGCATTCGTATATCAACATGGAACTTAGATACAAGGAGATCGACAGAGCGAGGAGTATATATGAGAGATATGTCATGGTGCATCCGGAGGTTAAAAACTGGGTGAAGTTTGCCAAATTTGAGGAGCGTCAGTCAAATATAGGTACAGTGTCTACTATATTAAACAATCTGAGTTTTATGGTGCAAATTTAGCCTCACACTTAATAATAATCACACACTTTAAAATTCAGTT